TAAGTATTGATTATATATAATATTTTGATTGATTTCATATAATTATAAATTATAGGTGATATGCTCCAAAAAAAAATTATAATAATGAATATACATGTATTAGACCATTCATAAGGACTAGCCTTATTAAATTTGGCATTTTCTCATGTTTACCTTTTCGTACTTTTATTATTTTTAATTATATTAATTATCTTATTATCATATATATATATATATATTTTTTGGATTCATAGACTCTTCGTCCAACACTTGTCCACTTTAGGACATCAAGGAAATTTTTCATTTTGTTGAGGAAATTTTTAAATTTTCATTATTAAAAATAAAGAGGAAAAGGAGAGAGAATGGAGATCGAAGGGGTGGAAGGAGAGAGAAAAGGAATTACATGATTTGTTAAAGATGTTTGTGAAATTTTATGGACAATGAGTACAATTTTAAAAAATTAAAATAGAAAAGGTTTTGGAATGAAAAAGAGAAGAAAGGAAGACAAGAAGAGATCATTGAAGGGGAGAAGGAAGAAGAAAGAGAGAGGATAGGAAATTAGGAACCCAATTTAACTCCTTTCCTTTATCATTTGAATGCTTACACCGGTTATTGTTTTCATGTTTTTTTTTTTTGTCTTGTGCTGTCTTTATTCATTTTTTTATGATATTTAATTAAAAATCTTCAAAAAAATTGATCATGAGCAAAAAAAACAAATCAAAAGGTTCTGAAACGTACAGAACCTTCACAACTTGAAAAAATGGCAAGAGACAGTAGCACTATGTTTAAACTGAGGAGAAGGAAAGGAAATAAAAATAAAATAAAATAAGTAATTAAAATAAAAAAAATTTTTGTTTGGATAAATTTTTAATTTAAAAGAAAAAATAAATAAAAATTCAATAACCTTTGATTTTTTTTTAATTATCACTTTTTTAAACCTTAATTTAGGAGAAAAGTTAAGGAAAAAAAGTATAAAAAATTTTATTTTTATAAAAAAAACTATTATATCTATATTTTTATTATAATATTAGATTTAATTATATAACTGATATTTTTTACAAAAATAATTTTTTTATGAGTATTTTATATAACATTACAGTTTATAAATATTTTATGATATTTTAAGTTTTAACAATAAAACAAGTCAAATTATTATCATAATAAATTAAAAGGTTAAATTAAATATAAAATTAAGAGTAAATAAATAACTAATTAATACATATTATCTTATTAAACATACTTAATTTTGTTTAAAAAGATTTAATTATACAAGTTAAATAGTAAAAAAATATTTATATGTTATATGTTATTTTATAAAAAAAAATACTATAATTAAAAATTATTATAATGAATTATTTCTTTTCTTTTTTAGTATTTATCTAAATAATAGTTGTTAAATTTTTTTTTATCTTTTATTAATTTTTACTATTCAAATATTGAGTACATGTACCATTCATTTTCCTTTCAGAAACTTTTTTTTTCTTTTTTTTTTTATTTATATGTATCCAAAAATATACAAGGGAAACGAGAAAGAGAGGAAAAGGGTGAGCAGTGGTAAAGAAAGAAAAAGAAGGGAAAAAAAATGAGGGATTTATGGTTTTTTAGATAGGTTAATACTATGTCGTTTGACAAAGGAAAAAAGTCAAAATAAAAAAGAAATAAGGAAAAGAAAATAGAAAGAGATGGTTGGAAACCAATTCGGTCCAGATTTTTTTTTTTTTTTTTTCACTCGTTGAGTATTGATTTGATGAAACTGAAAGATCAAAGACAAGTTTAAAAATATTCTAATTGTTTTTTTGTCATAAAAATGCTAATTTTTTTATTTCTCAATCTTTTTTCATTTTTAAATTAGTTTACTTTACTTCTCATCATGTTGTTAATTAAAATTAGTAATTTTTATATTTGTTAATTGAATAATTAAAAAGAAAAATAAATAAATTAAAAACATAGTTATATATTTAAAAATTCACTCAAAAATAATTATAGGCTTTTAGTAAATTGTAAGTAATAATTTTCTAAATGTCCTAGGTCATGAATAATTTTTGAAGTCCCAATAAAAGTATTAGAAAGATCTCAAATTATTTCCATGCATGAATTGATTTTTTTTAAATTATAAAATAAATGAAAATAAAAATTATGATATTATAAGATAAAACATGAAATAATAAAATAAAGGAAGTTAACACTTTAAATTAATAATTTAAAAATCACATCATTATTTTATGAATGTTTTCATTACATACTTACTTAGTCAGCATGTATTTTAAGCATTTCGTAAATAAGTTAGCTTTTAGGTGAAAGCAAGAAAGATGGGTTTGATTTATATCATTAAAGCGTGGCCCGGTAATGGAAAATAAAAAAGAAGCAAGGATATCTACCGTCTACTAATCCATCAGCTTTAGTCCTTAAGTACGGTGGATTTCAATGTTTCAGGATATAATGATCAAATGAGCCAAAAAAAATTTTTTCTTTTTCTTTTAAAATAAAAATAAATAAATAAAATATCTCATTTCAACAAAGATTTATATTAGATTTGGTAACAGTAAAAATTTTATATTTTATAAGCCAATTATTTGATTTTTATTGATTTATCAAATTTCATTAATAAAAAATTAAATTTTAATATTTTTGGCCTTACAATCAATCTTTTCTTACCTCACTCTTAAATTTTTTTTTTTTTGAATTTTAAAATCCAAACACTGTCTAAAACAATTAAACAGAAAAACAACTGAGTTTTGTTCTTAATTTTATGTAGATGTTCAAATCAAAAGATTGAACTTAATTAGAAGTTAAAATTGATCAGATTATTTTTTAAAAAAATTATATATTTTTTTAATAATAAAATTTAGGTTAATAGAATAATATATATTTTTATAAACCCTGTAATTCAAGGTGAATTAATTAAATTATGGGCATTTTTCTTCAAACAAAATGCTAATGAAAATGTGAAACGAGTCATTATTAAAAAAAAACAAAAAAAGAGTACTCATCATTGGTGTGAAAGTCTAACAACTATATTTATTCCCGACACAAGTGTGAACTATTGTAATTATTTAGACATGTTCCGATGTTAAATTCTGCTTAAAAAATGACGAGTAAAACAGTTTTCCACTTACTTTGCCTCAAAAGCTAATGGAAAAACAATCCTCGTATAAACGTCTGCCATCTAATCCAGCCTAACGCATCAATAATAATCGAATTTTTTATCTCAAAAAAATTTAAAAATAGATAAATTTTTTAATTTTTTAAGTTAAAATAAAATATATCATTGATAATTTAAAATAAATTATTATAAATAATATATTTTAAATGATTTTAATAAATAATTATCTATAAAATTTAAATTTAAAATTTTTTCATAAAAAAATAATTTTAATCGGTTAAATTAATTACTTATAAGTATAATTATCGAATTTACACTTTAAATTTTATATTTTTAACAGAAAAATTCAATAATAATTCAAGTACCGATCAAACATCTTTTACAGTGCTAGAATTTAAAGGAGGCCATACAAAGTCAAGATAAAAAGTGAATGTCTTTGAGTTGCCCAGCCACTGACATAGACTGATTTGTTTTTGCATTACAAAAAATATAGGTTAGCATCAACATCAACTTGACATTAAGAAATCGATTTAACACCACCAATCTATGCCCTGATGAGCATAAATGAGAGTGACATTTTTTTTGGTTTCTTGTCATTCATATCCACGCCAAAAAGTTGTTCCGCTTGCGACAATTTACATATTAATATTATTTTAGTATCAAGTTAAAAAGGGGCTATAGTCGCCTGGTTTTTGATATCATCTAATTTGTAGAAGAACATAACAGTAGCTAAAATTTATATGAAATTTTTAAATAAGTTAATAAAATTTAAATCAATAAATTGATAAATTTTAATATAAATATTAATAATATATAAAAAAATAAAAATTATTTATAATTTAAATTTAATTAATATTTATTTAATAATAAAATTGTTATTAATATTTTTATTAAAAATATCTATTAAAAAATATATCAAATTTTTTAAAAATTTTATATAATTTATGTATCAAAATTTTTTAATCTATCAAATTTGATTTTAAAATTTAATTTAATTTAATTATTTCTAAAAAAAATTTCACGAATTTTATATAAAAAACTTCATTTAAATCTTTATAATATTACCTTGAACTTTAACAGCAATCTTTAGCAATCCAAACCCTGTACATACGCATTATAAGGGCAGTCAGGCCTGATATTTTCCTAGCTTAGTGACTTCCCCTTGGAAGATCAACATATAGTTAGCTATTTAGCTTGAATTTTTCCATCCTTTGCTGAGAATTAGGCTGTTCATGGGCCTGTCAAGGGGGGGATTAGGCCAATTCCAGTCGAGAGGATACGGGGCTAAGTCCTCTTGTTCAGGAATGAAATGCCATCAGTTCTCATACCATTTTTGTTCGCCTTTTCGCCTAAGATCAGGAGGTGTTTTATAAAACACATGGCTGAGTGTAAGCTACCTAGTTACATTCTAGGTAAGGGGAAAAAGTCATTGTTCAGATAGAACAAGAAATAGAAATTTTAAACTCATGAAAGCAGATATTCCATGCAAGAAGACACAAACAGGAACTTTGTTTTATAAAAAAAAAAAAAAGACTAATTAATACATTACCTAGTTGCAATTGCGGTAGATATTAAACCCAAAAATTCAAAATCTCTTGATAGATTTGCTGTTATAGAAATGATTAAAATCTCCAAGTCATTATCCATTTCGATCCTGGTCACCTTGTTGGAAGCAACTGCAAGGTTTAGCTGTCTTTCCCATCAGCACATGCCACACACACATCCCCATTTCCAAACGTGGCCATCAGTATCCTAAACCAACCCATAAACTTTTCTTCTTTATTAAAATTCGTGCATTGACTTTTTCCAGAGCCAATTGGGGCCCAATTCCACCGTTGGATGGGTGGATCTTAATTATTAGCACAATATTCTGACCTAATAATGGAACTAGGAACATCCTTCATAAATTAGACAATAAGAGAGTAATACCTGCCCTTGCAGCTCGCTTTTCGTTTATTTGTATTCTTTCAGTTGATAGTTTGTTGGAGTTTTCTGCCTTTACATTGCATGTGCATGAGATCTGTCCCACTTGTAATTGGAAGGGAACTTCCTGTGGGTTTCCCTTCTTCTCATGTAACCTGCGTCGAACTTACCATGTTCAGAACACGGAATGAATACAAATGAATTAATGACCCCCTAGGCCCTGGTCCCTCCTGGTTTACATGTCACGTGCTTTCTTTTTAATTTATACTAATTAAAGCATTATTGATTTCATTCTTCAAAATTAACAGACAGACAGATTTACATGTCAGGATAAGAATACACATCACTTTTTCCTATCCAATTCAGTAATCAAAAAGTTTTTTTTATCCGTCATGTTAAGCATATGAAATTAAATTGCCCAATTAAAATAATGAAAAAGGATGTTTGAGATGGAGCTTAACCATCAATAAAGCAAATCTAGAGTGTATATAATATTGTTATTTAACTCAAACACTTCGAAGTTGATTCGTCTTTTTGTTTTTTTGTCGACAACTGGCAGGTAATTCAAGAAACTCATCCTCCTATTAGAATATTTCATAGCAATCTTGTTTCGACACAACTCTCGCCGAGACACACACACACCACCACCACCACCGCCACCAAACAACTGCCAGCAAAATGAAGACTCAGAATTTGCTTAGATGGATTTCTCTCACCCTTCCCATTTTCATCATCCTCATCAGCCAAAGCCAATTCCATGCAACGCAAACGCAACCCATTTTAGATAATCTCACAATTGACAGCTTCATCAACAAAACTCTCCAATGGAGAAGTCATCTGAGAAAATTCCATGGAAACAAACTGAATCTATCAACCCCTACTGCGCTAGCAGGAGTGTTCTGCTTCGTAGCTTCCTCCATATCCAGTGCAGGAGGTATTGGTGGGGGAGGGTTGTTTATTCCCATTCTGACAATTGTGGCAGGTCTAGACCTTAAAACTGCCTCAAGTTTTTCAGCTTTCATGGTTACAGGAGGGTCAGTTGCAAATGTTATGTACAACTTGCGCACCAAAAGTGCCGAGTTTGGGGGTAAGACTTTGATTGACTATGATATAGCGCTTTTGTCAGAGCCCTGCATGTTGTTAGGAGTAAGTGTTGGAGTAGTTTGCAACCTTGTCTTACCAGAATGGTTGATCACCATCTTTTTTGCCATTTTCCTTATTTGGTCTACCTTTAAGACTTGTAGAAATGGGGTCGGATATTGGAAAATGGAATCAGATCAACATCAGGAAACTAGAAATGGGTATGAAAAACTGGAAAATGGGGTGATTAAAAATGGAACTTGTGGTGAAAGTGGAGAGATTAAGAGTCTAGAAGAACCTTTGGTGGGTATGGAAGGAAAGGAAAAAACAAGTTTTCCATGGAAGAAATTGGTGGTCTTAGTTATGGTCTGGTTTTCCTTCTGTATCATCTATCTCCTTCGTGGCAATCGCTATGGACAGGTACCTCCCTTTGTCTCATGTCATGACTTTTCTTTTATAATTTTGCTTGCTTTTTTCAATTTTTTTTTAGTAATACAAATTACGATGATATGTCATCTAATCAATTGAATTTATATATATGATAATGTTTTTTGAGATTTCAATCTTTCCAAAAGAAAAAACTTTTTCTCCCTACAGGAATTTCTACAAAGTTCTTGGTCCCTTGGTATATATCTCCGTTTCATTCCTTCTTTCCTTCACCTTATGGTAGAGATATAATTAGTCTTATTAGATAGTATAAATATATATATTTATATTTCATGTTTTTTCTAATCATTTTTTTAATGAAGATAGTATATATATGTATATAAAAATAGAACATAATGTATACGTCGTATGTACTCTAATTAACCAGATGTTAATCTAAACGACAATGTTAGGCAATGTCTCTTTCTTTACACCAAACCCACAATCGGAGAGGAGAGGAAGATGAAAGCTACCTCACTTTGGACTTACTCAGACTATGAAAATAAGGAATAAACTATACCAATTATGCATGGTCTAAGTGTTCCATTTTGGAAGAGCACTAGCTATGAGATTATGCACCCACTTTTTTTATTAATGTTAATCTCAATTATTACACTGAAAAAGTATACATCCAATCAAATCAAATTATATATTGAATTTTCTTTGGAACCTTCTTTGCTTCAATCTTTTAAAAGAAACAGACTTTTATCACTTTGTTTTTATATGTTTTCGCTTTTATTTTAAAAATTAGAACTGCATGGAATGATGGGGATGATCTTCAATCCATGTGTAATTCATGGCATGCTCAATATTTATGACTATTGAAGAAACATGCAGGGTATCATACCAATGAAGCCTTGTGGAATAGTATATTGGACTCTCTCATTGTTTCAAATTCCTCTTGCCATAGCTTTTACTGCATGGATCCTTCGTAGAACAGAGGCCATTACATGCCAAGGTCCAAATGAGCAGGTGCTTAACAAATTTATTGACAAAATTAGCTACCTACCAGACAATTTAAATTGAGAAACAAAATTATCTAAAAACCTTTTTTTTTTCTTTATTTGTGAAGGGGGTTAACAAGCTTATTTTCCCCTTAATGGCGCTATTGGCGGGGGGCTTGGGTGGAGTTTTTGGAATTGGAGGTGGAATGCTTATAAGCCCACTTCTGCTTCATGTTCGGATAGCTCCGGAGGTAAATACTGTCACTTCTCCCTTATTGAACCATTATAAAGTTCGAGATTTTATCTATGCTAGCCAAACGTATGACTTAATCATTTGATGCAGGTAACAGCAGCTACTTGCTCTTTCATGGTTTTCTTCTCATCTACAATGTCTGCATTCCAGTACTTATTGTTGGGCATGGAGCACACTGGCACTGCCCTTACATTTTCTCTCATTTGTTTCGTCGCGTCGCTTCTGGGATTGGTGGTAGTGCAGAAAGCCATAAAAGAGTTCGGAAGGGCATCCTTAATCGTGTTCTCAGTTGGTATAGTGATGGCTATGAGTGCCATTTTGATGACTAGCTTTGGTGCTCTCGATGTTTGGGTGGACTACTCGTCAGGGAGTTATATGGGATTCAAACTACCTTGTTGAAATCAATTTTGTAAAGGGATAATATCTATCTAAATTATTGTAAAATATCCAGCATGACAACTAAATTAAAAAAGTTTAATTAGGTATTTAAAGTTGCAATTAGTTTATCAAGCGACTTCAATCTCTAACACGTTTGAAAAATGTAATGCAACAATCAATCAATGAAAATTTTATTGAAATACTGTACATGGCTACATGCTAAAGAGGTCGGATCCAATGTCGAAATGGTCAGACGCCCATTGAAGAGGCCAGGCCAACCCAACGTCGGGTCCAGCCGCTTTTGGCAAGACTAGGTTGAAAATGGTTGGATCTAGCTCAATACGAAGAGGGCTGGAGGAATAAAGGGAGAAGGAAAGGAGAGAGACAAAAAGAAAAAAAAAAATTATTTTTCTTTAAAAAATTATAACACGGTATAATCACATCATTGTTCGTAATAGATGCGTTATCCAAATGCACAATACATACATACATATATATATATATATTTGGTGGATACCTGTATTATTACGGGTCAAAATTTTTTGTATTTTCACCCTTATTTATTAAAATTTTTTTTAAGATTTATCTAATAGAAAAAACAAAAAGTAAAAACACAAAACAGGATGGCACATGAATATTTAAATTGACTTTCTATTATCATAAAATATATCTAATAAAAAATAAAATATAAAACAAAAAATTTTTAAAAAAGAACAAAAAATAAAATACAAACTCGTAAAGTGTGCCATATGGAGACCCTAATGGGTTTTAAAATATTAATTTTTAAATTAAAGTATCAATAAAAACTTTATTAATATAATACATATATATAAATACAAAATTAAATTAATAATAATATATATATATATATCTTGAAATGATTTGAGACAAAACACCTTAAATATGTTTTTACTCCGATCTCATATCTTATAAAAAACTTAAACTCAATTTTGATTTAAAAAAATTACCTCTATCGGATTATGATAGATCAAAACCTATCGAATATGAATTATTTTGATATTTCATCAATCAATATTTTTTTGTTGCAAAATTTTTCTCATTAAAAAAACACATAAAAGACAAGAGAAAAGAAAAGTTAAATGGAAGTGTTACATGAACATTTCTATTGGTGTCGTTTTTTAATAAAATTAATTTAATAAAAAGATATTAAATATATATTATTAAAATTTTTAAAAATATTTATTAGATATTTAAATAAGGAAAAAATGAAGAAGAAAATAAGAAAAAAAAGTAAAAAAAAAAAAATCAAATGACTTGATATGTGACATATCTTTAAAATCCAATGGGTCTCATAAAAAATTAAACTATAAAAATTATTTATTAAATATATAAAAAAAATAAAAGAAAAAAAATTAAAAAAAAGTGACATAATTGTGGTATCAAGTAGGTCATACATAAAAAATACAATCTAAAAAAATTTTATTAAATATTTTTCAAAAAAAGGTAAAAAATGGGAAGGCAAAAAAATGAAAGTTTGATATAATAGATCCCACGCACAAAAAATAAAAATTTTCAAATATGTATTTTTATAATTTCAAAAAAAATTATTAAATATTTTTTCAAGAGTAAAAAAAAAAAAAAAAGAAAAAAGACACAACACTTGGAGCATACATATGCATTATTTATTTATAAGATTAGATAGATACCCACGTGTTGCCATGAGTTAAAATTTTCTTACGTTGTCATGCAATGTCATGAGTTAAAATTTTTTTATTTTATCATCCCTATCCATCATTTTTTGTGAAATTTTTATCTTATTAAAAAAATGCAAAGGGTAAAAAATACAAATGAAAAATACACATGAATATTTGAATTTATTTCTTTTTCTCTCAAAATTTATCTAAAAAAATAAACCAAAAAATTGAAAATATGGAAAAGAACAAAAAAGGAAAAAAGGAAAACAAAGAACAAAATAAAAGTAAAAAAAGAGCTCATAAAGAATGTTATATGGATACTGTTGTTGAACTTAAAATATTAATTTATTAAATTAAGGGAAAAATAATAATTTTATTAATATAATATATATAAATATAAAATTAAATTAATAATAAAATATATACTTTATATACCTCGAAATAAGTTGAGATAGAATATTTTAAACACACTTTCATCTTGATTTCATTTCTTTAAAATAACTTAACCCATCCAACTTGATCAAGCAATTTAAAAAAAGCCTCTTACTAAATTGGGATGGATTGAATCCATCATATACGGATTATCTTGGTATCTTTATAAATTGGCACATTTTATTATAAAATTTATCTAATAAAAAAATATAAAAAAAAGATGAAAAAAAAAAAAAAAAAAAACCTAATAGGCACATAGACACCATTGACCTATTTTTTCACAAAATTAATTTAATAAAAAATGTATAAAAATAAAATAAAATAATCTAAAATCTAAAAAAAAAAAAGCTCATTAAGGTATTATGTAATCGTCCCAATTATGCTTAAAATGTTAATATTTTAAATTAAGGTATCAAATAATAAATTTATTAATAAAAAATTAGAAAAAATAAAAAAAATGAAAAAAAAAAGATTGTTGAAGTGCCATGTAGATATTCAATTGAGTTTAAAATATTAATATCTTAAATTAAGGTATAAAATAATAATTTTGTTAATATTGTAAATACTCATTTTGTCCAGTTTTATCCTAAATATAATTTTAATTATTTTTATAGTCTTATTTTTTTATTTTCTCCCTTTTTTTTAATCTTTTCTTAAAAAAAAAAATTACCATGCATTAAATGCACATGTACCATCTCGTTTGAAAGTCCAAAAGTTTTCATTGACCGCTAGCCACCAGCAAACACCTACTAACTTGGCAACATAAAGTCATTGGCCAAATTTCCAATTTTTCTACAAGTAAATATTAAAAAATTTGAGATTTGAATCCCATAAACTCTATAAATAAAGTTATTTTCCTACAAATAGAAACCCAAAGAAAATTCAGAGAAAACCCAAAGAGAATTAAAAAAAACCAAAAAATAAAAAAAAAACCCTACAAAAAAAAAATCAAAAGAAAGCTTTGCCAAAAACCAAACCTCTAGTAGAAACCCAAAAAACCAAAAAAAAAAAATTAGCCTATTAGAAAACCACAACCAATCACAAATAAACAACCTTTGAGAATAAGGATCAATAATGCCAGAAACTAAAAAAGCATCAATAAAAAAAATAGTAAAAAATAAAAAAAAAGAGTTTTGATCAAAAATTTTGAAGGTTGATCTACAATGATTGAGATTTTTTTGGCAAAATAAAGCCACTATCTAGGTTTAAGGGGTTAGAAAGATCAATAAGTGATTTTTTGAAAATTTTTTGACCATCCTTAGTGATGACCAGCAACGATACCAATGACAGTAAGAAGCTGTTGAATTTTAGTTTCTTTTGAAAAGTAGAGAGAGAAGCTCTCTCTTAGAGAAAGAAAAATAAAAAAATGAAATGAAAAAAAATTTATTTTAGCCTTTTATAGTGCAAAAAAAAAAAAAAACTACAAAACAATTATGTTTAGAACTTAGAGGATCTGTTCATGGACCCAGATTCGACCTAGGGTCTGCACAACCTAACCCATGACCCATGCCTAGGGATGACATCGGGTCGGGAAAGCTCGCCCCGAACTCGACCCGACTTTATGCTTTAGTATACCCGAACCCGACCCTATCCAACCCGATATTATGTAAACTGTACCCAATCCGATCCAAAATTAATAAAATATTATTTTTTAAATATAAATATTTAAAAATATCATTATATAAATACATAATTAATTAAAAATAATTTTTTATATAATGTCGGGTCGGGTAGAGTTTTAGGCATACCCAACCCCGACCTGACCTCGATTATTCTTTAATTATACTCGACTCGAAAACTTAAATTCAAAAAAAAAAACTCGACCCTATAGGGTCGAGTCGGGTCGGAACCCATCGGGGATGGGGTTGATTGCCGTCCCTACCCATGCCTTCTTTAGCCATTGATTGGTTTAACTAAATCGGTTGTAAATTACTCGAAAACAGCTGAACGGCCTTGGACCGCAAAAAACTGCAAGAAAACTATTAAATCGATCCAAACCGTGGCAAACCATTAACTAGCTGTTGACCGGCCCGTTTTGGTATTTTTTAAAATTTTAAATTTTAAATTTAATTTATGTTTTATAAATTATTTAGATAAAATGCATGTTTAAATTTTGAATTTGTTATAATATAAAATATTTATAAAATAAAAAATATTTAATTAAAATTTATTTACATCATTTTACCCAAAGATTTAACAAACTTTAAGAAAATTTAAAAATATAATAAAAGGAATAAATAAAATAGAAGTAAATTTTAAAAAAATTAAAAAACAAATAATAACAATAAATTTTCAAACAGTTGTTAACATACAACTTATAAAATATTTTTTAAAATTTTTCTAAAATGATGGTAAATTTAAAAGAAAATTCTAAAAATATTTATTTTGAAAAAATAATAAAAAAATTAATAAAATTAAATAAAAAATAGGACAAATCTAACAATAAAAATCTAGAAATTTACGAACGAGTAATTTTCTACAAAAGATTATTTCTAAATTCTACCAAAATGATGAAAATTTTAGAAAAAAAAAAAAAAACAACAAAGATCACAAAAAAAATTAGATTTAGGAAATAATAAATATTGTCTAAATCATGGAATTGCAAAAAATCAAGAAAGAGTGATTTTTGTGGTTCTTATGTTTGAAAATTTATCCAAATTTTATCAAAATGTTGAAAAATTTGAAGAAAATTTTTATGCTGATGATTTGCATTCATTCATAAATAATAATAATAATAATAACAACAATAACAATAACAAATGTTATAAAACTTCAATAAATCAAAAAAATAAGAACAATAGTAGGATTTTAAAAAAAATTACAAACAAGTAATTTTCTAAAAAATAATAAAATAAAAATATTTCGATCTAAATTATTCCAGAATGATAGATAATTTATGATTTAAATCATTTTTAAATATAATAAAAAATCTTAATGAAATTCTAAAGGTTACGAATAAGTGATCCTTAGAAGAATTTTTTTTAAGGATAAGATAATTCTAAATTTTACTAGAATGATGAAAAATTTAGAATAGAAAATTTTTAATAAAAGTATAAAAAGTTTTTAAATAAAATTATAAAATTTTTATCAATTTGACAACGGAGCATTTTCAAAGAAACAAATAGATTTTTTTAATATTCTTAAGGTGAAAAAAATTTTCTAGAGATTTTAACAAAATGATAAAAAAGTCTTACGAAATTTTTTTTATATTTAAATAATTAAATTAAAAAACAAAACAAAAGACCATTTAATTAAAAACCAAGTTAGTGAAACACAAAGCTTTTTTAGTTTCATTTTCAGATAAACATTGTAGGGATACTAATCATTCTCCATACGTAATTGTACTTTCGAACTTAGTTCTGCAATGTAAACAAAAACTTATTCTTTTTATAAAGTCCTAATTGAACTTAAAATTTCTTTAAAAGAGATAATTTTAACTTGGTGGCCAAATGCACCTTAACAAAAAAATTTGATGATGACTCCTAACTTTTCACGTCTAGCAATTGAGTCCCTAGACCAATACATTACGACAAATATAATACATATATATAATTAAATGAATAATAAATGTACTTTTATTTATACCATGATGTGGTTTAGGGTAGTACACCCTACATTTGCTTTTAATCTATCATTATTTTCCTTAAAAAAAATTGACCGACTTGACTCGATATCAATTTTTTACAAAAATATCCATATCGAATCAAGATAGATCGAAATCATCGAATACTAATTGTTTTGATATTCTTATCGACTGGCTTATTTTGTTATAAAATTTTTTCAATTAAAAAATAGAAAAACAAAAAATACAAAAAAAAAAAAAACAAATTGGGTGTTACATGGACACATCCATTAACATTATTTTCTTATAAAATTTATCTAACTAAAAAATAAATAAATAAATAAATAGATAATCCCTTATCTGATTGAGTCAAATCAAAACCTATTGGATACCAATTGTTTTACCATCTCTATCCATCAACTTCTTTTGTTGTAAAATTTATATAATTAAAAAAAAATAGGCAAAGAAAAACAAATTATGGTGTCACATGAACATCTCCATTTGATTTTTTTTATTTGAATTAAAAACCAAAAAGTTGGTAAAGAAACAAAAGAAAGGAAAAAAAGGAAAAAAAAACAAGGTGTCATATTAACACTTTAAATGACAGTCAAATAAAAACCAAAATAAGTAAAATTTATATAATTGATAGATAGATTACATCTTAATAATGTATAAATATAATATTTTTATTAAATTAAAATACTAAATAATAACTTTATTAATATAATATATATGTATCAAATTAAATGAATAATTAAAAATATAATTATATATAAATGAAACAAGATGGAACATTCTCAATCTGCCCTCAACTCAACTCGATTCCGATTTTAAAAAAAGAAAAATATTAACACAATCATGAATCTTTTTAAAACCCACACTTATTAGATTGGGGCAAATAAAAACTCATAGGATATAATTTGTTTTGTTATCTCTTCATTCATCATTTTTTACAAAATTTATCTAATTAAAAAATAAAAAACTTTTAAAAGACAATAATAAGAAAATGAAGTTAAATGAGATATCATGTAAATTTATTAAATTAAAATATTAAATAATAAATTTATTAATATAATACATATTTATAAATTTAAATTTAAATAAATAATAAAATATGTATTGATTATATCGAGTGGGGTGAAACACTTTAAACTTTTATCTAATCTAACTCTAATTTAAAAAAAATAAAAATTCAATCCAATCTTAAATTAAAAAACCCACCTATTGAATTTGGACAAATTAAAACCATTAGATTGTTTTATCATCTATACTTTCATTGACACTTTTCTTAAAAAATTTATTATCAGTTTCTTTTGTCTCAAAATTTATCTAGTTAAAAAGTAAAAAACCAAAAAAAAAAGCAAAAGGTAAAAAAAAGAAAAAATTAAGTAAGATACCACGTGTACACATCAAATTTGTTTAAATATCGAATTAAAAAAAGAAACTAACAAAAAGAAAAAGAAATGAAAAAAAAGTTGAGTTGTCATGTGATATTGATAACGATGAGTTTTTATTGTAAAATTTATATCATTGATTTAAAAAAACAAAAAATAAAAAAAAAACAATAAAATGACAAAGAAAAAAGAAATGATCAATTTTTTTTTAAAAAAATTTAAATGTCATGTCAACATTTCCATTAATATTATTTTCTTAAAAATTTATTAAATTAAAAAAAGCAAAAAAATTAATAATATCAAATAAGTTTCACACAAAAATTTTAAAATATTAAAAAATATATAATATAAAAAGAAAATTAAAAATAAATCAATATATGGGCCCAAACAAAAAAAATAAATATAAAAATTTATTCAATATAAATCAAAGAAAAAAATTAAATACAAAGTAAAATAAAATAAAATTTAAAGAAATAAATTGACTGACACGTGATAAATGACATTAGTAGAATTTATATATAAGATATAGGATGTCGAATTTCTTTGATTGACGATCAGATCACTAATTTCTATTAAAGATGTTAGGAATTACATTAAATATTTTTCTATATAATAGCTAACTACGTTTTTATTTGTGCTTTGGAATGAAGAGGTAGCTTACTGAAAGCAGGAGGAATTAAATAACTTCTTGTGCTTAGGGTATTAACTAAACAGTCACATTTGGAACTGTCATTGGGTTCATCAAATTTTAGAAGGCTTGCACTTTTCTTGCAAAGTGAAAGTCTTGTACGACAAAATTTGTCTCGTCCGCCCAATTTTCTTCCAAGGCCTAAAACAGGGGCCAGCTTTAAATAGTTCTTTGTACTTCATTCCCATTTAGGACCATCTTTTCGTGAAATATCACAAGGATCACAGCAAACGAAACAAATTTCAATAAATACGCTGGTTTTACTTAAGTAGGAATTACACAAATTGTGTAACTACATGATCCGATAATCCACCTCTGTAATCAACGGTTTCCAACGTTTAGCATACTAGCTCGAAAGGTTTGGCAACATAATTCACCAAATTTAGTTAAACAAAATTAAAGTTATCCGAGTAATAGATAAGCAGAGTTCAAGCTTCGCACAACTTGGCTTTCAATTCTCATACTCTTCCAAAGGTGGGGAGTAAAAAGTACAGAGTATAAACTAAAAGAAAACCACCAAGACCAATGACAAATAAAATTATGATCAGGCAGTAAAAAAAAAACAGCCTGCCAGCTTATGCAACTGGAGGGCGGAAAATATGATCCTGTGATGTATCAACAGCAGCAGGAGGCAAGAACTGCCACACGGAAAGTCCAGGATAACCAACAAAAGGCACCAGCTTGCCACCAACTTGGCCTGGGGTAGAAAATGAAGTTGGAATAGCAGGATGATGAGGTAGGAATCCTGGCTGAGAACCCAAGGCCCTGACTTGCAGCTCAAGATTCTCTTTCTCAGTCTTTAGCCTCTGTTTCTCATCACGGAGTTCATTCTTTTCAGCCTACAAAATGAAACTCTACTCAGCACAACCAAGACGAGTTACACTCAAGCCACCTAATTCTCCAGGAAACTGATGCATCAAATAAAATTTTTGCAATAAAAAGTAGAATAAATGAACATCAAAATCCAGGCTCACCTTTTGCTCATTAATCTTCTCCTGCAGACTCTCATTTGACTCCCTAAGTTTCTGGGCTTCATCCCGTAACAGAGTAACCATCCGAACAGCATCAACCAGTGTAACAGCCTTGTCCACTTTGGGAGGCCTTCCACGATCTAGGATAGAACCCAATTCCAGGAACCTTGAGATATTGAAAATGTAAACATCAGAGAAGGCAAAATGGGTTGAAGGGAGAGACATTGGGATAACAAAACATGCCTATCATTTAACGTATCCCTTCGCATCTTTTCTCTGCAAGCTTTGGACCCAGAGGCACTGCATGTTCCAGACCTCACCCTGTGATAGAATAGTGAAAAGATTAAAACAGGAGACCTGGTATGAAACCAAGCAACAAATCCAAGCACAACAACACTAAAACTAACAGATACTTAAAGCAATAAAATGCAATGGTGCAGAAGCCAGAGCAGAAACTGCATTACAGAAATAGAGTAAGAAAATACAATAAAACATTAACCATTGAGTAGCAGTATACCGTTTTCGCGTGCCCGTTTCATCAAGATTGTCTGAATTCCCAAACGATTCATTAAATTCAACACTGCAGAAAAATCAAGAAAGACTCAGGAGCATGTTTAAAGTACAGTGAGAAGTTAACATAGCTTAGCTTGAGGGAGCACCCGGGCCACGACAGCTTGCCAGCCACTAAGCTTATTCCCCAATTCCATAAGTAAACATAATGCTAAACTAAGCAAAGCTAAAGCAACAGACAACTTGGAAACAGAAGTATAAAAGTCAAAAACAATTGCTTTGAGTACCACAATGTTGGAAAATTCAAAAGCAATAAGACAAAGGGAGAAGAGAGGAACCTAAGAGGAGTAGAGCAAGTAAGGGAGTGAGATGACCAGATTGGGGTTGAAGGGTCAACTGAGAGCAGATCACCACCAGGGAGAGGAATGTCTTCTAACAAACCATAACCATCGAAAATCCACGTGTTGGGATTTTCCGAGGAGACCAGGTCCTCCCTTTGGTCGCCGAGAGATCATATGCCCGGCAAGAATTCAGTTATGACACAAAGGCGGAAGATACAGAAGTGCAGAAAAATAAAAACTAAAGAAAAGAAAAGAAGAGAGAGAGAGATATGGAACGAGTGAATTATGTTGGTTTGGAGATTTTTAGTGAGAAGATTGTGATGGTGGGGAATTATTTCTTTGGATTTGGTTTTGGGAATTGAAAGTGATTTGAGAGAAAGTCCACATTTTTTTTTCTAAAGTATTTTCTTTTTCATTGCCATTTCCACCGGATGCCAAAAAGACTAGACACCAGGGCCACTTTCTTTCGGTTCGGCCAGGCAAGAGTGGCACATAAACAGTACTGTCAAGAATTGGGTTTTATGTTTGCTATTGGGCTTCATTTACTCAAGAAAATGGGCTTCCAAACTAGTGGTGATTGTCGTCACCAATAAACTTGTAGCCCAGGAAAAGTGAACGTTGCATTAATCCTTGGTAGGGCAAGATTTCTTACCAATTATAGGATTTGCTTTTCCTAATCCTCATCGATTGATGACTTGGAGCATGATATTTCACCAAATTCAAACCGTTTTGAGTTCAGAAGGCCAGGCTTGGGAAGCAAGCAACAACCTAGTTGATAATCTCCCTTGATGTGACTCTTGCTTTTGGGACCATGGAGCAACTTTTTTTTGTAGTATGCTTAATAAAAACCTAGTTAACTAAACTCGGCTAGTTCTTGTTGGCCTGGTGCATGTAATAGCTAATTCTTATATATATTTATTCTTTTACATCTTGTACTAGCTAGAAATCTAATTGGATTTAGAAGTTTTGATTAAGTATAGCATATTCCAGAGTTACAAGATGAAATTGAAGCTATTGTTCAATTCTGCTTCCTTCGACTTTCCCCAACAACTTTTTTTTCCTTTTTTACAATTGTAAAAATTTGAACTTAATCATTGAAACTAAAAATATAATATTTTACCTATAAATCAAAGTAAAACAGCTCCTAATTACATTTTCAAAGATTGAAATCACAATTACAATACAATACATAATTACCAAAACAACAGATGTGCTTCAATGAATCACCAAGATGAACACTTTATTTTCTCGGATGAACATGACAACCACATATTTTACATGTTCAAATATGTATAAAGTCACAAGCATTGATACTATGCAACATATACACGAATGGATTGCACAAAACCATCAATCCTTTTCCTTATCTCTTCAGGATTTGCACCGACTAACTTGTCAACTACAGTACTTTCCCTCATCAGTTAAAACGTTGGCATGGCCTTGATCTCCATCCTCGTTGCTACCTCGTAATGATTCCACTCACAAAGAAATATTCAAGTCACCTTCATAATAAATATCAAACAAGTAAATGGCAAATATCTGATATCAATTTTGGGTCCTTTCTTTATCATAACAACCAATCCACACACTAAAATAGCAATGGAACAGAGTGATAGGGTATCTGCGCAAAACAGCTTGACCCAGCCAGAAACCTAATACGGACTGAACCAGAAAATACTCTGCCCTTTCTCAATCAATCAAAAAAAGAAAGAAAAATATTGAAACACCTCGAACCAGGGAGTCCGCAGAGGAGAGGATTATTTACTAGTTATTGTACACAATAATAAGAAAATTAAACTTTATCGCAAAAGGACGATGCTTATCCTCCGCTTCACATGTTGTTATCTAACTAGCATATATATTAAAAGCTACAAGTCATACCATATCTTTCTAGAGAGGATCCTAGTACATCTTCACCGTATCAAATTGCAGTCACAAAATTATATTCAATGAATATGACGTGAATTCTAGCACATCTTCACCACATCAAGCTACAGTTGCAAAATAATGTCAAGAAGGAAGAGGATGATCAATCCTTGTATGCGTGGAGCATCATTTTAAATGCTAACTGTAGGCATCCTATTATGTCTGGAGGTTTACAAGATCAATTTTGATAAATTAAAAAATAATTAAAAAAAAAATGTTTGAGTTTATATAAAATTGGACTGGTAGAGTTTAACCTAGATTCAAAGATTGAATTTCAATCACAATAAAAAATTAGGATTGATCAAACCCTATAAATAAACGTTGGCACACGCAGGAAGGATAGGGGAACAAAAAAAAGAAACGTGGAAACAAAGAGAGAAAATCAAAAACAGAAAGAAGAGAGCAAAAAATTAGAAGTAGAAAAGAAAATTGATAGATCAAAAACACAGCAATCAAAAAGAAGAAAAAATTTGAAGTTCTGTTAAAGAGAAAAAAAATTTTCTGAAAAATTTTTAGATTCCGACAAAATTTTTTAGCATCGGTGAAATTTTTCGATGAGTTTTCCAACGCTGATTGAATTTTCCTACAGGTTTCCCAAAATCCGACTCAGATTCCAACTCCAGTTGAATTTTTTAACAAATCTCCTGCGAACTAATCCAGATTCCAACAACATTTTTCAGAATTTGACGGAGATTCAACCGGAATTCATCTGATTTCTAGAGAGAGAGGAAAGAAAAGAAAAGAAAGTCTGAGGCAGAAAGCTTGAACTTTACCTTTTATAGTAGTTTCAAAACGACATTGTTTTGACGTCTTAATTCAGCCTAGGATCTGAGCATTTTATCGCTGAACGACCCACCCATAGCGCCAACCCGCTTTTAACCCGTTTACCAACTGATTATTAGAGTGAAATTGAGCCGAACCGATTACCTCAACCCAAGCCTTCAAACCATTTTTTTTGTTTGAAGCCGAACGATGCCACGCCAACTCTCTAGCCAAGCCTTTTTTTTTGTATTTTCCTTTTTTTTTGTATTTATGTATTTATTTATTTGTAGAGTATTTTTGCATGAATAAATTAAAAAAAATTTAAAAAATATTTTTTAAAAAAATTAAAAATATAAATTTTTTTTGAAAATAAAATTTTAAAAAAATATTTTTTAAAAAAAGTTGAAATTATCAATTTTTTTTAAAATAAAATTTTTAAAAAATATTTTCGAAGAAAAATAAAAAGTATCAATTTTCTTTAAAGATAAATTTTAAAAAAATAATAATTTTTGAAAAAAAATTAAAAGTATCAATTTTTTTTACAACAAAATTTAAAATAAAAAATATTTTTTAAAAAAAAAATTAAAAGTATCAATTTTTTTTTCAAATCAAAATTTCAAAAAAAAAACCTTTTAAAAAAAAATTTAAAGCATCAATTTTTCTTAAAATAAAAACTCTTAAATACTTTAAAAAAAAATTAACAGTATCAATTTTTTTATACAAAAACAATCAATTTTTCTTAAATGAAAAGAAAAAATTTATATCAAAAGTTAAATTATTATTCTTTTTTATTTTATTTTTATTTTTTGAATTTTTTTAAAATGTTAAATAATTCGATGATGAAACTTCTGCAAGTGAAACAATAATTTTTTTGTATACTCTTGAGATGAAAATTTTTTTCTAATTTTTGGTCAAAAAAATTTGAAGTTAATTAAAAATAATTTTTAATAATTAATTACTTAATAAAATTTTTAAGGCTTATCGAATAACATGAATTAAGTTGATACCATCTTTCGATGGACGTTGTGAAGATGTTATAATTTTTTTCACTCATAATCGAATTCTCGAATCTTATTCTGATTAATAGATCCAAACTTATTTTTTTAAAAACACTTAAACTTAAGTGTTTATATCCTTAAATGATCAATTGTACTTAAACAAAAAAAATTAATACCAACTTTTAAAAATAAATGTCAATCGATAAATTTTCATATCTAAACGTTACGACACTAACCCATTTTTCAAAACTCACGTCTCAACACAATATCATGAGATCATAAGATTCTTGCCTTAACATTGTCAACATCAACAGTGAGAAACAGAACATCTTGGAAAGCTGAGGCCAGTTCTTCAAACAAAGGGGTTCATGCCCACTGAAGGCATACACCATGAAGCAGTGAAGTGTACAACAATCTACAACACGCCCATCGAAACAGAAATTAGGGTATGAAGAAAATTAACCAAACGAAGTCCTTACTTTGAGATCAACAGACTATGTATGAAAAGACATGAATCGGGATTATTGGACTCCCATTAAAGGAGCACTGAAGGGGGCAGATGGTAACTAAAAACCCTATAAGAAAAGATATTAACAAGATAGTTGTGGAATTGGGATTGTTTTCAAGAACAATGACAAGGGACGGGGGCAAAACCAAAATATTACTGCTAGAGAAATTTTAACATGAAAAGTGAAGAATTGAAAAGCTTACTGAGCAGCCTTGGTTTAAAGCTTGATTAACAGAGAACTCCCAAGATTCAACAGAGTCAACCTTCCCAACTCTAGACTTGTTCTGCTGCTCTTGTGCCTCCATCTCTTTCTTCCTTGTCTTTCACCTCCTTGGGTAGTCCTCCTTAATGCTTTGTTGCTTTGCCCGCAAAAGAGAAATGTCTTCTAGACTAAGACAAAACATGAAAAGCTAGGCCCACCTCTTCCCACAGTATCTCGATCAAACTTGCTAGAACGTAGAACGAAAAGACAAAAGCAGCCCTCTGAAATTTTGTAAAGGGTGCTCATGTAGATTTATTGAATTTTGGTATCATCTATCATTCCTATTCTGTATTATTATTTTACATTTTTATTGTTATTGTTTCGAACTTGGAGATGCGTCAATGTTCTAGCCCTCCTATCCCTATCCCCAACAAATATCTTCCCAACTTACCCCCTTCCCAATAAAAAAACGAATTTCGTCTTCTTCTTCCTTCCTTCCAAACTTATTATATTTCTGATAATTGGTTTTGTTTTTGTCTTCAACCTCTTAATAGGTCATCAATGATTGAAAACAATGGATGGCAGCCAAGGTTTATCACTTCATTTACAAAAATATCCCCACTTTTTCTTCTGTTTAGGAACATCAGCTGTTTCTCAATAACATCATGGATATTAAAAACTCAGAACATCTGTACTCTGATAAATCACGGAATTCATTTGTTTCTGTGTTCATCAAAAGATGAAATTTATCATACAACAATGAAAGAGTTACTTTCTGCCAAAAGTCAATAACCATCTGAAACAGCATAAATCTAAAAATACAGATTAGTACTAATAACTCAATTAGAACCTCTACAGATGATGATACAAACCGAAGGCATGTCGTTACACTCATTACAAAGCATGATCTTATTCAATTTCTAAAAAGTTACTTCTGTTATAAAAGAATTTGATGAACATAACTTCAGCCACAGCTCAACCGAGAATCAGCTGGCCGCAAAGTCATCTGACGGCGGGGAACTCCAATTTCGCATGCATTCACTCTAGCAGCAAAGCGGAGAGAGCATAGCGACTCACCCACCGAAGTCGGATCCGGCGATACATTCACAAACATAAGAGTTTTCGAATCTCCACCAAGACAAGGCTGTTTATTGATGGAAATAAATTTATAAGGAAATCCAGTGATTCATTAAAAACAAAATGATTCTAGGATATAAAATTTTGGCCCCCATTTCTTCACAAAAGAGATGTCTATTTGAAAATGATGCTACATTCAGAAGGAATGGATGGTTTCAGAAAACAGACTTAGCATCAAATAATGCATCAGTCAAAGATGATAATGAGCTCTTCAAGCGCACTTTACCTGGAGAAGATATGTCAACTTGGAATTCCTAAAAGGCACATGATCCTCCTTCTTTGCCAGAGCAAATATGACATCACTCAAACACGATAAGCTCTTGTTAATGGCCTGGTTGCATGGAAAGAGGTCAGCAAAATAACATTAAAAGAACAATTTATGGAACAGACAAATCCGGTGGTACATTAAACACCTGAGTCTCCTTTAACCTATCTCCAGTCGCACCACTCCTTGACAGCCGCTCACTTCCTGCAAGATCAATAAGGTTCAAGACACCCTGCACTTGTTGCTCAGTGCCCTAACACAACAAAGAAAACAAATGTCAGTATACAGAGGAAAGAAGGTTATCAAGAGATTCAATATATTTAAAAAAAAAGCAATCAAAGGAAGGGTATTACCTCGTTTATGCCCGATATCCTCAATGTGAAAACCATGTGACTTCTTGACGATTGCTCATTCATCTGCGTCCTGCCCACAGACCTGCAAAGCAGAAAAGTATTGTACTACATGGTCATTGAGAACAAAACTCATATGAGGCATTATATGTTATACATCAGAGACAAACTTTTGCTGTTTTTGCTTTAAATTTTGTTATATTGCTACTCAACGGTGCCATCATTCATAAATATTTGATAGTTTATAACATTAAGTAACTTAAAAGGAACTAATTCTTTCCATAAAAAATCATTGAATTGGGAAATAATTTCTTGCACAACTATAATGCCAACATAACATTGTAGAAACATATTCAAACTAGGGTAGATGCATGATGCAAGACATAATCTACACAATATTATGTTAATAATCACCAAGACTCTAAGCAATTTTACCTGCTTTGAGCAGCCTGCCTTAAAAGCGAGGAAATCTCTGTTATGCTACTAACATCAACAATGGTCAGGTCACTGACATATGTATTACCATTTGCATCATGTTTAATTGTGTACTGCTTTCCAGAAACTGCACTTTCTGGGCGTGTTGGATCTGAGCCAACTGATCGATTGGTTGACAACAAATCGCGGATGGCTTCATTGTATATTTCCAACATTGAAGCCTAAAGTTTTAGAAAGAGAAGGTTAAAACCATGATTAGCCAACGTAATAAGTGGAAATCAGGATCAGATTAAATTACCTGCATCTTGTATTTCCATCCCTGTGCTTGCAGTGACTGACTACTTTGGAATATCTGCTCCAATGAACGCGGTATCAACCCTTTTTGCTCTGGGGTTTCTGGCCTTCCCATCATGGTGTAGGTCTTACCTGAACCTGTCTGTCCATAGGCAAATATACAAACCTGTGAAACCAAACAAACCACCAACAATCCATGAATGCATATTTCCTTTGCATCGAAGGGCAAATGATGCAGATCAGATAGCAATACTAGACATTGTAGAATTCAGTTTCAAAGAAGAAAAGCCATGTGCAAAATAAATCAACTAGTTTTAAACTTAAATCTTCCTCGATTTTGGAACAAAAGAATCCTTACCGACCAGTCACCATATATCATATTTCTAGTGCTGGAAAAAGATTTGCTTAAATTTGTAAAAACAAGAGCATAAAGTAGCTAATTACCTTATATCCATCAAGGGCACTCTGTACCAACTGGGATATCTCCACAAAAACATCTTGCTGTGAAGCCTCATGATTGAAAACCTTGTCAAATGTAAAAGGATACTTTTGCCCTGAAGACAGTAAGATAAGAATGATTAAGATTGTTGCCTTTGATACTAAACAGAATTGAATAACAAAAGAGGACGCAAATGTTCATACCAGTTTGTATCAAGTCAATGCCACAGCCAAGAGATTCCACTGATGTAGGATAAGAGATGACTGCACCTTCTGCTCCACCGTCATCTGGTAAAAGAGGACGTACCCGACAAAATACTCGAATGTTCCCTTTTAGTTCCTGCAATTAAAGATGACTTAGTATCATTACAGAATTCCGAGCAACAAATATAGGGCAATGAAGCACAAGTACCAGAATAGTGTTGTGCAGCTTTTTCCTCAAATTCTCTCCTTCAATAAGTTTGTGTTCCATATCAGCCAACCGATCTTGTAGTTCTTGTATGATTCTTTTTTGTTCTAAATATTCCATCCTTGTTTCCGAAGCTGATAAATTGGTCATCTACAGATAGGAAAAGAAAGAACAAACTATGATATCAAGAACTAGGTTGATGATATTTTTTCGAAACAAGATAAAATACAATAAAATCTGTATAAATTTTAAGCAACATCGTTGATACCTTTAGTGTCTCATTTGCAGCTGCAACTTGAAGCTCCAGTATTCTTATTTGCTCCCTCTGAGAAGAGCATGTCTCCTGCAAAAGAAACCTAGCATGTAGGAAAGCTTGCCAAAAAGGATTTTATGACTTGCAAGAAATAAAACCAACCAACCTCCAAGGACTTGGATTTTGTTGTCAAGATATCTAATTCTGCAAATGATTTTCCAGTTCTTTCTTTGTACTTCACAATTTCAGTAGATAAGGCCTGCACTTGTGACGCTTGGCGCTCACGATCATCCCTCACTTGTTGTAGTTCGCCTCGTAAGCATTTGACTTCATTCACTAATGTTTCCTTTTGATTAACAGCATCATCTTGTGAAGCCTGAGAATAATAAGATCCAAAAGATTCAAAACCTACTGAATATGGTATTTGTTTGTCTCCATGCAAACCTAAGTGCTACAGAATGCAATGAACAAGCGGGAAGTGTGAACACATGTTTAAGGCAAATCAGTTATTAAATAAACCCAGGGTCGCATCACTTGAGAAGAAAAACAGAAAATGTGCACAAAAGACCCCGATAAAATTTTTGTGAGTTCAGAATTAATCATCATGAAAATTCTGTCTCAACCATAAGATTGTAAAAGACAAAATACAACGACCCCAATTGAAGTTCTCCAAACTCCATTTAATTATTAAGAAATAACCAAATAAACTAACAAAGAAAAATTATAGAACAGGCTGATATAAAACTTACTCTTGACAAGGTTAATTGTTCTTGCAATGAACTACAGTGACCCCTTAAAGTGCTAAGATTCTCCACTATTGTTAGCTTCTCCTTTTCTACTCGTTTGAGTGACTCACGGACTGTTTCAAGGTCAGTTATTAATTTGGAATTGTACTGTTGAAGACTCAGGATGTACTCTTGTAATCGCTTGTGTGTATTGTCAAGCGAGGCGGCCTGCAAAATTCAACAAAAATTCAGCCCCCAAAGTAAACACTTTTAATAATAGCATCAATTATCCAAAAAAATAAAGATTTTTTTATATATACATTACCCTCTCATTAGCAGCTGCTATATCCTGCTGAGCTTTTTCAAGCTCTTCTGTTAGAGAAGCAACTGACTTTTCTGCAGTAACCCTAGCTTTATTTTCACTTCTATGGCGGTCAACAACATCCTAGTTATTGAAACCAAACAAACATATGAGTGAAACATTAAAGAAAAACAGATATGCATGACAGATTTTTAAGATTAAGATCATACCAGCTTTTCAGACACTTCCTTGGAAAGCTTCACCTGTAAAGACGCATTATTGTCCCTTAACTCTGAAATAACAGCATTCAGTTCTTCCTCCTTGTTTTTCTTGTCTAACTCTGTAGAATCAAAAGTTAACTAAGAAAATCAAGCAGTAATTAAAATTAACTTATTGGAAGAAGTAACATTACCTATATCAATGCTTTTTTTCTCAGCGGATTCCAATGAATTCTTAAGCTTCTCTTTATCAAGTACATGATTCTCATCACATTGTTGAAGCCATTTCACACAAAGCTTAAGCCTTTTATTATGTTCCACCGCGTGCTCATATTTAGCCTAAACCAAATAATGACCAACAACAACAAAAACAAATAAATTACAAAAATAATATTTTATAAATAATTAAAAAAAGAACTAATTATGATAAATGTTTTACCTTGAGATCGAACTTTTTTGCTTTCGGCTTCTCGTTTAATATCGCTTCGACTTCTTCTTTGGTGAATTCATGATTAGGACATTCCTCGGCGTTAGCGGCTGTTGTAACGTCTTGACGGTTGTTAACAACGGCGAAGGCTTGTCGGGTTCGTCCGGTTCCTGTGGGTCCCGCTCCTCTTCCTATCGCTCCAAGCCTTCTCCGTTTGTCTAATGGATTTTCATCTCCCAGCTCCTTTTTCTGAAATTAATAACAAAGAGAAGTAATAATAATTAAAACAAACAGACTGCAAACATTTTTTAAAAAAGGAAAAACGCTTACGGTGGAGGGGCTGCGAGGCGGTCGATTCTGGTTGCGGGAAGCCATATTTGAAACTCAGTCGAAGCTGTGAGTTAGGGTTGTTTGATAGTATTTAGTAGCGAGGGAATTGGAGCAGGGTTGGATCTGGGCCGTTGATATGGGAGAAAATGGAGTTGAAGAACTGGAGTTTGATTTTTGGATTTAGGGGAAGAAATTGGAACGTTAGGGGTTAGGAAAAGGAAAGGGCGAGCGTTGTGAAATTGGAGGAGAGCCTCGGGAATGTTTTGAATTGATTTGAAATTAGATCTGGCGGCCTCTCCTATGAAAAAATATTAACGTTAACTTTTTTTGGGCCAATTGGGTCTAGTTGTTTAGCCCATTAATATTACCCACTCAACCCAGGTGTGACTGATAAATCCATCTTGACTGGACTTCAATGAATCAAATATTGGGCCTTTGATTTGAATCGACGTCAAAAATTTTTTGCCTATTTTGGTGCCATATGTTGAAGTCTGATAGTCTGTATAAAAATCTTTGCTGAATCCACGTGTCAAAATACAAACCAGGTCACCATGAAACCCAATCCAACATGTCAAATGCCAAAATCACCGGCCGCCGCATGTCTAAGAACAATTGGTTGAAACTATATCCAACTTATCCAGAGTAGAAAATGGCAGATAAGGTGTCTGCCCAAAACCAATCTACATCACAGAAAAAATGGGAACAAACCTGAAAAACATCAGTAGTCCAACAGTTCATACTTACCCCAAAACAAAAATATAATTCCACATTTATTCTCTTGGCTCAGTCACATTGAGATCACTTGGTTGCAGAGATGGCACAAGCAATGGCATCGATGGCTGGCTTACGTGGCTCCTCACAGGCTGTCCTGGAAGGCAGCCTGCAACTCAGTGGCCAAACCCGCTTGAATATTGCTAGCAACAATAAAGTGGCTGTGGCTAGGCCTGGTTTCACTGTCAGAGCCCAACAGACACCATCCGGGCCTGAAACTGGACGCAGAGCGGTGCTGGGTCTTGTTGCTGCTGGTTTGGCCACAGGCTCCCTTGTTCAAGCTGTGCTTGCCGATGCAAGAAGCATCAAGGTTGGCCCACCTCCCCCACCCTCTGGTGGATTGCGTAAGTCATCAATTCTTTTCAATTTATACAGATTTTATTTTTCTTCCCTGCAATCAGTTCTGTTTGGAATGGTAGTTTGTTTAAATGTATAAATCAGCACGGTACTTTGATTCGAGATGGTAAAAAAGAGCTACATAAAATTAGGATGAAATTGACAAGATTTTTATCATCAGCTATCGGATGGTTGTCAATTGGGTTTCGTTTGCAAGAATAATGAAAGGCAAATGATTTTGCATGGGAGACTTGTTCATGGTTTCTACTAGTCATTCATAAACAATCCCTGATAAATTGCAAAGTGGATTGACCGCCAATGTAGTTTCCCAAGTTTAATCAACATTGCTTTGTAGGCCATGGTCCATAAAGAACATGAACATGGAAATTGTTAAATATGTGATATAATTGAGTAATTTGGTTGCGAAATCGGCATGTTGGCAGCTGGAACTCTGAATTCTGATGAGCCAAGAGACCTTGATCTTGCATACAAAGACAGGTTCTTCCTCCAACCACTTACCCCAGCTCAGGCAGCTCAGAGAGCAAAGGAGTCAGCCAAGGATATTCTTGGTGTCAAGAGTTTGATTGACAAGAAGGCCTGGCCCTATGTCAAGAATGATCTCCGTCTCAAGGCTGAGTATCTCCGCTATGACCTTAAGACAGTCATTTCTGCCAAGCCCAAAGATGAGAAGAAGTCTCTCAATGAACTCACCAAAAAGCTCTTTGATACCATAAACGATGTACGTATTGAAGTCTGCTTTGGTTTTTTTGCTGCATAATTGCCACAGATTACTATTATTTAACGATACATGGTTAATATCACGAGTCTCTGTCTTTCTGATAAGGATTTTTTTTTCTTACAGCTGGACCATGCAGCCAAAATCAAGAGCACCCCTGAAGCAGAGAAGTATTATGCTCAGACCGTATCTACTCTGAACGACGTTCTTGCCAAGCTTGGCTAAGAGAATTGTTGTATTTTGATGTAAGCCTTGTTCATCGTTTGTGGATACACTTTCATTTCCATGCTATCCGAAAGGGAATCTTTATCTATTAACGAAATTGAAACTTGTTAATTTGTCGAAGCACTTTCCCGCACTCTAAACTCAAAAGATTTTAGTTTCATGAAAAAAAGAAAGAAAGAAAGAAAACCATCAAAGCAAAAAGCAAAAATTATAACTTGATTGATCAAACACGGTTTTTTTTTTTTTTTATGAGTTTGTCAAAATTGAATTTTAATTACTGAAATTAAAATTTTAATTTTTTATCACAAATTAAACTTATATTTCAGTTTAAGTCATGTGATTAACATTTTTTATCCCATTAAACAAATTAACTTTAGTTTCAAAACCGATTTTACCTTAAAAAGGTACTACTTAAAAAATAAATCAAACTAAAAACTCTCCTGGCTACTGTTCTCTTCTGCTTGCCTAACCTGATCTTTTTGTGATTAAAAGCAGTAAACCACCCAGCCAGAGAGCAGAGGCCGACATGATGCATAGTTTAGGTCCATGCCAGGCTTTAGGTGGCCAGCTACCCCCTTTTGGTACCCTCTGCTTTGCATTTTCAGAATTCACACAAAAAAAAAAAATACATATACGTTAATTTCCACATTTTAGCAACTTCAATTACTCCTATAGTTCTATTATAACTAGACGAAGAAGTCCGCACTTTTAATTTTTCCTTGAATAAATTTTGTGAAAAATCTGTTCATAAATATTTTAAGAAAATTTTGTAAAATATAAATTAAAAAATTTAGATTGTTAGAATAGATGGATAAGGTATCAAATATTAAAGATGATAACAAATGGCTATAAACTTGTTTTATTTGGTTCATATATGCTATAAGCTTTTAAGTATAAGTCTAGAAATTCACATGAGAAAAAAATCATTAATTCTCTACTCTAAGAGAAAGTCCTAAATAAACCTAAAATGTAACAAATTTTATCAGTATGAAGATTCAATAAATTTAGATATTTATTAATACAATCTTGCAATTAAATAGAATATATTTAGTAGACATATAGATATTTAAAAAACAAAAAAGTAGACATATAGAGATGAAGAGTTCTTTTTATAATATTTGAGGATAAAGTTAATACTACCTAAAAGACTTAATAGTATATTTAGTAGCTACAAGCCTACATGATCTCCATGGCATCTTAAGTATATGGTAGATTTGTGATGAACATACTAAAAGTTTATTCAAGATTGACAAACCTTGTTAAATAGATAAAATAACTTTGTAATTGTGCAAATCATGAAAATTTTCAATGTTAAAAATTCTAGATATGAAAAAGATGCAATCAAAACTCTAGGCATTTAAAGATCAAAATTTGAAAGACATATTAATAGCAAATGACAAATTGATACAACTTACGGACCATTAACTAGTCCTCCGTCTCTTTGTCTAGTGGCTAAGGAGGTTTTATAAGAACATAGAAATTTTAATTTTAAGCCAGGATCTCCTCCCCTTTCTCCTTTACAAGGGCTATACCCTCTCCTGAAAAAAAAAAAATCCATTAACTAATTCTAATACATTTCATTCATTATTAACTTTTTAATATATTTTAAGAATTTCATCATTTAAATAATAATTTTAAGAAAAAAAATTAACTCAAAAGAAAGTAGTAACTTTGTAAATATGTTTTATATTTTAAAATTAAATAAATAAAAAATGCGTCTAATCGCTTATCAATCATTCATGATAAATGATAAAAGTTCAACTAAATCAATATAAATTTAACAATGTAACAATATCATAAGCAATAAGCAATATAGAGATCTTACTTGGTTACAACTACTACAGCTAAACCAAAAGCTATTGTCCCTAGCAAGATACTATTAGGTATGTATAAGACAATTGTTGACCAGGTTATCTGTGATCAAATTTATTAAAAAAAAATGAGATGAAAAGCTTGAATAAATAAAATAATACTAAATGGCCAAAAGGAATAGAAATATGAGTTTGTTGATTTGTAAATATATCATATTTGAGTTTGTGTATGCAATAGACCTTTTAAGTGTACGTAAAAATATCGTTGCATGGACTAAGAAATTATCTAAAAAGGTATTGATAGTCCAACAGCAATGCTAAAATCTACCCAAATTTGCTACTTGTGCTTAGCATCATACCATAAAAATGAAAAAAAAAAAAAAATACATTGGTGCATATAGATTAATTACTTATATATATATATGCAATTTTAAAACATAAAATAATTTTGTATAATATGTTATATAAATTTGTCAAAGACATCGTACCTATTTATCCACATTATTTGTTAAAAATGAAACAAAATAATGACAAATACAAAAAAGTGAAGCAAAATTACTCCTATTAACATGAATGTACATGCATGCATCAAGTACAATGATAATTAAAGATGTAAATCATATATTTATATTTGTAAGTTATTCAATTTCAATTCGAAAAAAAATTTGAATTTGATTCGATTATTATCGAGTTGAGTTCGAACTCAAGTAATTTTACTTATTGAATAAATTAAATTTAAGCATTTTAATATTTAATTCAAATTGTTCGCGAGTTTATCGAGTTTTATTATTTTAATATATATTTTATTTTAATTGTAAATTACAATTTTATCTTTTAAATATAAATCCCTAAAACTAAAAACCTACCTCTTTCAATCTTCCGACTCTCCTCTTCCCCCAGTGGCGCTATCCTATCTCTTTCAATCTCGCTACACTCCTCTTCTCTCTCAATTTCGTGACTTTCCTCTCCCCCTCTCTGAGGTGCTATTCCATGGACATGACAAAAGACTTTGTTCCAATATCCGTGCTTTCCGAGACATCCCAAGGTAAGCATATGTTATTCTCTTTTTGAAAGGAATAATGGCGAACTGGAATAGGGATGAGGGTCTTTTCCAAGAGTGTTCACGTGGACACTTAGACTCACCTAATCCAATTCCCTGTCTTTTTTTTTTTTGGTGCATTTTTTCTCGTTCAATTTCATCCAATTGATCCCACACTTTTCTTTGTTTCAGTAAAATCAAAGTGAGGTCTTCCAACACTATCTCGCTCCAATGCTCCTCCAAATCTTGCTGCAAAAGTCTCCGAGCCTTCGGTCATCAGGGTCTCCAATGCTGGCCCTGCCGTTAGGGTTTTGGATCCTCAACTTGAATATCACAAGCTCTTTGGTCTGTTTCTTTCCCCTTTAATTTCACTTGTTTTTTGTTGAAGTTTGATTTAATGTCAGGGTTCTAATTTGGATTTTATTATTCATTTTAATTTTAATTTGAAATCAAAATTATATAATGTTGGTAATTTTGGCATATTTTGAGTGATAATCTGATTTTGTATTTGATTTTGTTCGAAGTCCTTTGTTAGTTAAAAATAAGCGCTAATGGGTTATTCGCCCTTTTGCTTATCATTTTCCTAACAGGAATAAGCAGATTGATATGTTTGGAATCTGATAATGAGTCTGAAAGCAGTTCTAGAGGGGACAATGAACAGGGGAAGGGATTGAAGGATTTCTGACATTGATGAGTCCAAGGAGTTAGAATGGTGTTCTAGATTTGTTGATTATGAATCTCATCTAGGCTTGTTGATATTGTATCTCCATCTATATTTTATGTGATTGTCTGATTCCGAAAACCTTACTATGATTTTGAAAATGCAAAAGGAATTATATACAGCAGTTTGGAATCTACTTTTAGGTTAATGGAAGTTTCAGGAAGTTTGTTTTTCAGGGAGTCCTAATCTAATCCAAATGTAGGATGAAAGTTCTACTCAGCTAACTTACAGACAAGACGATGTTGATCCGCTACTTCCTCTTGAGGTATGATAATAAAATGGTGCATTCTTCAGCTTCTAAAATACTACAGGTTCCTTAAGTGCTTGGGTGAAATATTCGCCTCGCCCTGGTCTGTGTACATCATCTTTCGGCTTCAAGGGAGAAAGGCCTCTAGCGTCCAATTTCGTCAAAGTGAAGAAAACAAAGGATTAGGTATCCAAAAATCACAAATTTTCTATTATGATTCAAGCTGAACAAGCTCAAGCTTGGCTGCTGACTTGAGTTTTTTCTCGAGTCGAGTGAGCTTACGCTCGGTTTGAGTTTTACTTCAAGTTGAGTTTAAACTTGAAAAATTGAATTCGATCGAGTTCGAACTGAATTTCGATTTTTAATTTTTGAGTCAAACTCAAGCTCAAGTATTTCAGTGTATCGGTTCGGCTCGATTTAATTACGCTAAAAAAACTACTACAAACAAATTTTGATCCTAAAAGATAAACTAAATAAAAAAGTAAAGTAAGAAAATAGATAAAACAAAAAAGATAAAAAAAATCCAAGTGAAGAAAAAGTGAAAGTTTGAACAACAATTACTTTTTTTGTCAAATACCCAATTTTCTATCATATATTCTTCTTCTTCATCTGTTCATACAACAATGTCGCTTATCACCAAATGACTTTTTTTATTTTTGAAAACCTATTTATTTAAAAAAAAGTTTTACAAGTCGAAAGTTTGGCCAAAAAAAGCAAAACTTGCCAACTCACCACAAGAAGCCACCAGCATCCAAGGTCACCCCAGCTTGAAGCTACAACGCCAGCTATTCTGAAATATTATATGCCTATCCATAAAAGCATAATTGCCATAAATGCATATGCTACTCTCATAACTTCAGGAAGATTTCATACCAACTTTACAACTGTTTGCAAGACCAGCATGGTGAATGAAAGTCGGTAAAAAAAATCTGGTCAAGGTGAAGTGCAAAAGATCTGATTATTCCAAACCAGAATTATCCACTACTAACCACATTTAAATAAACAGAGATCTACAAACCTAGGCAGAGTATAAGCACACACATCATTCTCTAATATCATGACTCCAGAAATGATAGTATATTAATGGCAAGTTTGTTGAATGGAATGGAGAATTTGAGAAAACAATTTTATAATCGTATAATTTTAAAAAAAAAGAACTCTTGGTTGCCGGCATTTAAAATCCACCTACCAAGCATTGATTACTTGACAAATCATGATCCAATGTGACTTATAGTTTCAATTTCTATGTACTAAACTGAACCTTATTGAGTTGATAAAGCATACGCTAACTCAATTCAATAACCATTATCCTAATTCCTCTGTACGTATCTCAATTGCACTACCCAATTCATTAATAATAGCTTACCTAGTTAATCTCTTAAGTGAAAAAAAAAAAAAAAAACCACGTCATCATTTTCTAAATTTCTTGTTTCCTTTTTTTTTTCTCTCTCCTTACTCTTTTTCTTCGCCTTACACTTTCCTTCCATCTCTTTTTTATTCAAACAATACCACATGCAAGGTAACCACCATTAAGGCGCCACTACCATGCTTTCTCCAGCCTCACTTTCACTTATCGATCTCTTTCTCCTTCCTTCTCTCTCCTCGTAAACATCTCCCACGACCCAATCCCTGATCCATCCACCTATCTTTTCTTTATCCTCAGCTCCTTTCTCATCTCATCAGAGCATTGCTCTATCATCTCAAAAAAAAAAAAAATTGTCATAGAAAAACAAGTAAAACAAAACAAAGACAAAAAAAAAAAAAAAAAAAAACCTGGAAAAACAAAGAAATAACAATTCCAGAGATACAAGCCGAAAAGGAAAGAAAGAAAACAAAAACTGAATACAAACAAAAAAGAAAATGAGAAGCACAAACTGAGCACTTCACTATCAAAAAGCTACTTCTCACTAAACAAATGTTAATTATAATGATATTATTAAACCCAAATATAAAATTTACTTTCACAATTAATCTTCAAATCAAAATTAATCTCCTATCTCATCTATCTCAAAATTGAAGTTCAAATTTCTGAATAATTGTACTGTAGATAACAGGAGATAACTTTTATTTATTTTTATATATATGTATCATGTAAAATATTAATAATTTATATATTTATATTATATTTTATACAAAAATTATATGTTATAATTCATATCAATATAAAAAATAAAAAATATTTTTTTAATAAATTGATATATATTTATTTATTAAAATTTTAAATTATATCATTTTTATATATATTTCTTATAATTTTTATATCACATGATCATATGATGTTTTGAATTAATAAAGAAAAATTTACAGAAACAATTTCCCAATCCTTTCTTAGACACAACAATTTATGCTAGAATTGTAATGATATTGATTTGGGACCATTGAAAATCCTTTACTACTCCAAACTTCAGTTAAATGCTTTTGCGTCTTATCTATACCATTGTTGGACAAATCCATACATTCTTAACAGAGAAAAGCTGGAACAAGAACCTACTCTTTGCATGATTTAATGCCTATGTGCAAGCAATTGCAATAAGAATTTCAAAGCAGATAGAGGAGGTGTAATTAATTAAGTAAACCACTACATCTGTTCGAACAATTTACTATTATGTTGGTAGAGAACTGATCAAATTCAATATTCAAATCTTTACACCTTCAAATACCCAAAAAAAAAAAAGTTAAAAATGAACAATTTGCTATCGTTTTTCTTTTTTCGATAAAATATCTTTGCAATTAGATTTTGTTGAACTTAGTCATAAATCTTTATTTGACCAAAGAATTATGTTAATAATTAAGGTTTCGTTTTGTAGATTTTTTAACGTTTTTGTTATTTAAAGTTATTATAAATTTATAAAAATAAATTAAAAATAAAAATAGAAGCATATATAATCTAAATTAATTGATATATTCAACATGTTATAATATTTAATGTTTTCTCACATAACACTTTTCCATAAATTAATTGTTTTTCTTTTACAAGAAAAACACGAGCAACAATTAAACATTTTGTTAAAAGTGTTTATGGCTTTAGTTGAATTGGACGAGGCTCGGTTAATACGTTAGATCCCTTATGTAAAGCCTGATTCGAACTAATCTAATTTGATCAAAGTAGGTTTGAAACTATACAACAAATTATTCTATATTGATATTTTAAATTATATTTTAAATTAAAAACAAATAAAAATAAACAAAATAATTTTTATTACTTAAATAATATCTCAAATCAAATTCAAATCTAAACATCTTATTCAAAACATGATTTAATCAAGTGAGGCTGCATGTCGAATGAATAACTTAATCCAAAAACAATTCTCTGTAAATTAATTATGTTTAATGTTTTCTCATAGAACACTTCTTTATAAATTTTTTTTTAAAGTAATATTTGGTATTGATGATCATTTAAAACAAATCATAATAATTTATATATAATGATTAAATTACTGTGTTTGGTAATCATATAGTAATCCAATGTAACATTGATTTTAAATTATTGAAATTTATTAGATTATTGTTTTAGAGGGTGATTTAATTCACATTCAAAAATGTGAAAAATTTTTATTATCGAGTAAAATGATATATAAATTAATAATTGTCAATATTATCCATTTAATATATGAATTAAAAATTTATATTTTCTTAAAATTTATTATAATTATTTTATATTATAATTATTATATTTTCACACTACTATTCATTGTAATAAGTTTAAAAATATTTTGTGTGATTTATTTTTAAAATTTTATAAAATTTATATAATATAATCTTTTGATTTTTATACATTAATTTTATTTTCTAATTCAAATATTTTTTACATAATTTATATTATAAAAACTAGTTTACTATCAATAAATTATTTTTGATTTAATAATTTAATTATATTTATTATAAAGCAAATACAATATTACTAATATTTTATATACAAATTATTATTTTTAAATAATATTGAAATCATTATATGACTATTATAATATACATTATTAATTTAATAGTTAAATAAAATAATATTTAATTTTTAATAATATCAAACATAATAATTTTTAGTTATTAAGAATTAATAATTTTAACTAAATAAAATAATTTCATATCATAAATAATAAAATCACCTTAATAATAAAATTATCTTAATAATTAAATTATAATAATAATTTTAAAAATAACATCAAATGCTATCAAAAAAACATGAGCAACAATTAAACATTTATTAAAAATGTTTATGGCTTGAGTTGAATTGAACGTACCTTAAATCCTTCATTTAAGGCCTCTTAGATCTAACCTAATTGTGGATTGAAGTAGGTTAGAAACTATTTAACAAATTATTTTATATTAATATTTAAAATAAATTTTAAAATTAAAATTAAATAAGATAAAATAATTTTTATTAATTAAATGATATCTTAAACCAAATTCAAGTCTAAAAATCTTTTTTGAAACCTGATGTAAATCAAGTGAGGTTGCCAGTCCGATGAATAACCTAATCAAAATAAACTATTCCTACTATTTTCGCTAAAATAAACTACTCATTTCAAACGTACCCAAAAAAATGAAATTCGTTTTAGATGGTCATTGTACAGGTACCATACTACAAACATGACACCTGTATCTTCGGAAAAAAAAAAAAAGGAAGGAAAAAACATTTTAAGGATGTTTGGAGTTGGACATCAAGCTGAAGGCTTTTTAAGCCGTTGCTTTGCACAAGGTCACGTGCTCAGCTTCTACTTCATGTCTATAAAAAACAAAGCTTATTCCCACTAATGGTTCTTCGTCAGAGCAAGTCAAGAGCAACAATTTCTTCAAGAAATCAAAACAAGCAAAAAGAAAAAAAAGTAGAAACCCAGTAAAGAAAACACAAAATAAGACATAGAAGCATGGCCAGCCAGATCGTAGGGAAAAAGACGGCTTGTGTCGTAGGTGGCACCGGGTTCGTTGCATCTTTGTTGGTCAAGCTGTTGCTAGAGAAGGGTTGCGCTGTTAACACTACAGTGAGGGACCCAGGTTGATCTTCTTCTTCTTGCTTTGTTTTTTCTTTCAGCTTTTGATCTTGTTGCTTGGTCTCAGAAATTCTAATAGCTACATCCAATGATTTAATAACCGAACCAGTTACTGCACCGGAACAATATTTCTCCCAGTAAGCAAATGCTGGCAATGAACCCGCCTATCCGGTTGTAGTTGAAAATGTGTTCTGTTATTAGATAAGTATTAAATGCAATAATTACATAATTAAAAACAGCATTTAACTCCGTTATTAAGACATTAATAAGGGTGGAAGGGAAGAGTTCAATGGTTGAAATTTCACCACTTACCAATATTGAGTTCAATGGTTGAAATTTCACCACTTACCAATATTTACTTGGGAGAAATGTTGTTCTGTTCTTCTTACAAGGGGGGAGTAGTTTCTACCGCTTTGGTTTGGTGGGCCATTCTAATGTAACGTTCTTTTTCTTCTTTGGATAGTTTTTGCATTTGCTCACTGTATCCTTTTTTAAGCTTTTGGTTGATTTGAAGAGTTTCCTTGCCAAATTAATCAAAAGTGTGATGAGTAAATAGGAATGGGGTTAATACTTAGCTAGTACATATTTTATGCAGACAACCAAAAGAGGATTCCCCCCACCTGGTAATACTACAAAAGTTGGGAGACTTGAAAATCTTTCAAGCAGATTTAACTGATGAAGGGAGTTTTCATGCCCCTATATCTGGTTGTGACATTGTCTTCCATGTTGCAACACCCGTCAATTTTGCTTCTGAAGACCCAGAGGTATTATTACACCATATATTTAACCGATTACCCATTGATAATCAAGTTATTTCTGGTTTTGGAAACGGCGAGGTTGCTTTATTTCTCTCCAAATTTTTTGGTTGTAGAATGACGTGATCAAACCAGCAACTCAAGGAGTGCTGAACGTTTTGAAAGCTTCTGCCAAAGCAAAAACAGTTAAACGAGTTCTTTTGACATCAACAGCCGCAGCTGTGTCAATCATCAGACTTAATGGGCGAGGTCTGATCATGACGGAGAAAGACTGGACCGATGTTGAGTTCTTATCATCAGCAAAGCCACCAACTTGGGTAATAATATGATGCTAATGCAATATCTCTCTTAGATCGAATTTAGGTCGGCAAAATCTGAAGCTTTATCCATATATGCAGGGATACCCTGCATCCAAGACATTGGCTGAAAAGGCAGCTTGGAAATTTGCTCAAGAAAACAACATTGATCTCATTACGGTTATTCCTTCTCTCATGACGGGTCCTTCTCTCACCCCAGATGTGCCCAGCAGCATAGGCCTTGCCACATCTTTGATTTCAGGTATTAAATTAGAATTTAGAACCTAGTGTTCTGGCTTTGGTTCATTGTTCTGCTAATATCTAGAAGTAAAACTGCTTAAACAAAGAAGTACACTGGAGCACCATAAACTATAACTGATGGAATTTTAACATTTTGCAGGCAACGAATTCCTCATAAATGCTTTGAAAGGCATGCAAATGCTGTCAGGTTATCTCAATCACACACGTCGAGGACGTATGTCGGGCCCATATTTTTCTGGCTGAAAAAGAATCCGCATCTGGTCGATATATATGCTGTGCTGTCAATTCCAGTGTGCCTGAGCTTGCTAAGTTCCTCAACAAAAGATATCCTGAGTTCAAAGTCCCTACTGAGTAAGCCAATATGCGTTTTCAAGATCTGCATTCAATATCACAGCTAAACTTCTTTTCTTTTCTGGGAGACTTGTGGTTAACATAGTTTTTTTACTTTTAATAATTGCAGTTTTGGAGATTTCCCCTCCAAAGCCAAGTTGATCATTTCCTCAGAGAAGCTTATTAGTGAAGGATTCAGATTTAAGTTTGGGATTGAAGAAATCTACGACCAAACTATGGAATACGTAAAGGCTAAGGGGCTGCTAAAGTGAAGAGTCCTCAACTTTTTCCCTCATGATCGTGGTGTTTGGTTGCTTAAGATCTATGCTGGGTTTTGTGGTAATATCCTAATAACTTCATGTTCTACAAATTAAGCAAAAATCATATGATGAAAATCATCAGCTTTGATTATGAAAGCCATTACTACTCTATTGTTTGCTTTTTCTTCAGCAAATGGATTAGTACCTTTATACACCAAACATGATCTCAACTTTTTATTATAATTAGCTAGGCTTATATAAAACATGAACTCTACATTGATTGATCATAGCACAAAAATTCAATCTCAGAAGAAAAAGAAAAACCAAATTATCCTAATTAGTTTTAGAAGACCAAAGCTCAAATCACAAACTGAATTATGAAAAAGATTCTTGTGTACAAAACAATGACTATGATACTTTGTTTCTTGGTCCAATGCTACCATTTGCGCATCTCTTTCAACGTTTAGTTAAAGGATCAACAATCCCTTGTAGGTCCAGTTCGGAAGTAGTTTCTTCTGCTTTAGCGGGGTGGTTTTGCCCCTGATGCACCCTTGAGTTCCTTGGCTTACAGATCTCAGACAGTGCCAGCACAATTTCTCTCATTGATGGCCTTTTACTGGAGAATGGATTTATACAATTATAAGCAAGGGCAGCCATATAATTCAGTTGTTGAACATCAAATTTTCCTTGAAGTCGAGAATCTGCAATCTCTTCCCACCCTATGTTGTCTTCCACATTAATAGCCACCTATTCATGATCACAGAAATGAAAATGTCAATGAATCATGCAGGACTTTCCTAATCCAGAATTAATCAAATTCAAATAATAGCTTCAATTAAAAGTTAATAGTTTTTGCATGCACATAACATGCGGATGCATAGGCACTCAAATCGGGTGAATTAGAGCAAAAGGGCTTGAAGAAAGAGATCTTACAATCTCCACATACTGCATGAGACCCTGTTGTGGGTTCTTGCCACTCATTATTTCAAATAGTAGCACCCCAAAACTATAAACATCACTTTTCTTAGTAAAGATCCTCGTAGACATATACTCAGGATCAACATATCCAAAAGTTCCTTTGACATTAGATGAATGCAAATTATTTTTCTCCTGTCTTGAAAGTCCAAAATCTGCAACCTGCGCAGTTTGACGATAGTAGTTACACATATTTGAGCTTCAAAGCAAGGATAGGTGGGGGAAATGAACTAGCTACTGAAAACTGAACACTTACTCTTCCTTTCATGAAGTGGTCCAACAATATATTTGCAGATTTGATGTCGCGGTGCACAACAGTAGGAAAAGCCTGTTATAAAATGAACGAAGGTGAATACACCTCTTTCCAAAATTTTTACCAGCTGATCCTACTGGTTCAGTGACTGAGACTGAAACTTACCCCATAATGAAGATACTCCAAACCTCTTGCCACATCCAGAGCTATCTGAACCCTTAAATTCCAGCACAAAGGCTCATGCTTTTCATCTGCAATTCAAACATGATAATCAAATCTGTTTCTTGCACAATGAAAATGCTTATGGTCAATCGAAACCATTGAACTTGCAGGATAATTACACATCAGTAAACTATTTATCCAGCTTATAAAATTATGTGGAAATGTGAGATCAATCAAGAAACATTTTTGGATAAAAATAACTGCAAAAGTCCAATTCCTTCTGTATTTGGATTTCAAGATAAAGTATGCTTGACTGCTTATTTATAATAGATGTTGCTTGCACGAAGTTAATACTCTTTCTTACTGTATAAATGGGATGCAAGACTTCCATTGGTCATGTAAACATAAACAAGCATATGCTGTCCTCTTTCCGCACTATATCCCACCAAGTTCACCAGATTCCTGTGGTGTAATCTTCCAAGCAACAGAACCTGGGAATAAAGCAACAAAAACATGGACATGTTGCAAAGTCATCTTGGATTCAACTTCTTCCCCTTTGAGGGATAGCGAAAGGATATTGAAGATGAAGTAGAAACGTAAGGAGAACAAAGCATAGCCTTAAAACACAAGAAGTAGCAGGTTTAGAAAGAAATTTGGTTTTAGACATTCTACAACAGTACAGCTACTAAAATTCCAAAATTTCTGTTTAATTTTCTACAAGATAAATACAGCTAGCTATCTGAGAAAACGATTATTTCTGTTTCCAACAAATTTATTTTGCAACTAAGGACTAAAATATTAACAAATAGCATGCAAAACAAAGTACTTATCCAACCCAAACCCTGTTCCCCTAGGAAGACCCAAAAGAAAGAAGAGACACAAATCTTAAGTCCAATGCTAGTGGTCAGTGCTCAGTGGTCTTGACTTTGGAATTGTCACTTGTGGCTTCAAATTGGGTGCTAATGTAATAAAACCATTCACTTGAGAGGGGGATTAATCTTCTCTAGTTGTGTTGGTGTTTGTTTTCCGATAGCTGCTTAAAACTTAAGAACTCTAGTTGTAGTGTTCTTGTCTGTATTTGCAGGCCTTCGCCTGCTGTAGAGTCTGTTGCAAATGAGTTTTCTTTTTGCAGTAATCCAGAGAAAAAATTAATAATTTTTGTACTCTTCATCACCATAGTTGCTGTTATCATTCATGGAAAATATATATATTTTTTAATTTTGGCAGACATGGTTAAAAATAGTGGCCTATACTTGTCAACCTAACATTTGTCAATTGTCATGTGTATTCATGAAATATGCATCAATGGACCAATCCATTGACCCCATAGGTTTTGAAACCAAACATTCTAATATATGTACTTTAACATACAAAAAGTTGCAATCTAGCAGTATAATATATTAATACCTCTGAAAGGAACTCCATTGCACCTTGCTTGGAATCAATAGCAAGCACTTTAACAGCAACTGTCTGACCAGTTGCCATCTGAGCTTTGTAGACAGGACCAAATGCCCCTTCGCCTATATTTGTTGTAAAATCACTAGTCGCTTTCTGCAGCTCTCTGAAAAACAATTCATCCAGAAATCACTTTGGACAGAAGAGAAGAAAATAAATGAAAAGGAAGAGTCTTAGGAGTCTCAAATCAAGAAAATCCTTTCCAGGAGAAGCAAGGAAATGGAAATGCAACAAAAAACAACAGCACTAGAACATTGGTTGTTGCAAATTGCTATAAACTTACTTGTAAGAGTACTTTGGTATGCCACATGCAGATGCCACGCTCTTCCTCTTAAGCCCTTCCAACCATTGGGGCATGTTACTCCATTCAGATGTTCTAGGGGAATCTTGACTAATGTTAGAATCTGACAATATTGTGCTAGAATCTGCCCCATGAACACGGATGGGGATTCTTTCTGCTCTCGGAGAAACATTTTCCTCTTTGTCAAAAGGGTCAGAATGCTTCCTTCTATACCTAATGCAGTACATAATAGTCATGGCCAAAACCACACCAATAATTACTCCAATGCTGGTACCAAAAATTAGTCCCCATTGAAAGTTTCTCATTTCTTTCAACCTGATAGATTTAGTTCCTATGCTAGCATTGGGTGAACAGAGAACCTGTAAAAAATGATATTATCAATTGATCCTTCCACGGTTCCACAGATATTTACAATACCTGTTATGAAGAACCCAATTATAATATCAAACAAATTGAATAGCTGTGATACTCAACTCTAAGGATGTAATTCTTACCAAGAATTAGAAGGTTTGTAATGTCAAAAACATAACAATTAGCATGAAAATTCTATCACGGATAGCAAATTTCTTTGCAGATACCTGATTTTCTCTGGTAATAAAAAGTTTTGACTGAAGATCCTATCACCAAGGTTCTTGTAATTTTTTTCATATAATTTGTTACGGTGAAACAATGTTCTTAACAATTTTTTTCACCGAGGTTCTTGTAATTTAGACATAATTTGGTAGAGTTTTATCAACGAAAGTAAGATGTTTCTATGGGTCTTAACAATGTCAGCGAACCAAAAGAAAATGAAAAAAAAAATAAAAAAAAACCTTGATTATGATGTTAAATGAGGATGTAATTGCAGCAGAGGCAGAGTTATATTACGCGGCTATTCATTTTTTATACCTAAAAACATGCGTGCGATGAGAGACCTGTCCGGGAAAAGAACCATCCCAACGGCGTCGGTCCAAGTCCCTGCTAATTAAAGATTAGGAATAAAACAGAGTGGTGTACCTCAAATTATCACTTATCTCAAAAAGAAAAACTAATTCTTTTGGCTTTATTTTTGTCTCTTTAACGAAATATTTATGCTAAAATACTAAAGAAATCTCTAGATCCTTTTTTTCAAGAAAAAAAAAAGCCTATGAACTATTTTATTTTTTTAAATAAGGTTTTATATTTTTATTTATTTAAATAAATTTTTATATTTTGAATTAAAATAATAATAAAATTTTTGAACTTTATAACTTAGATAAGTTTTTATATTTTTACTAACTTTTTTAATCTGTACAAATCATGAGATTTTTTTTATTAAAATTTTCATCATTTTAAATTATTTTTAATTAACTTAAAATTTTATATTATCTTAATAAAAAAAGGTAAATTCTTATTGATCTAATATATAATCATACATTCATAAATGTTAAGCTACAATTAAATAATAATCTACACATAACATATTAAAAATGATATTGTTTATCTGGAAGAAGTTTAAGCTTTTGTAAATTTTCAAGAATTATAAAAATTATTTCCTTTTCATAAAAATTTTTTTTTTCTTCAATTCATTTACTAAACACTAAAAATTTTACTACCGCTTCTTTCTTATTTGATAAACAAAAATCAATATTTAAATAATTAAGATTAATAATTATTTTTATGATAATGTTAATATATATATATCATTTGATTAAATTATGAAAGACATTTTATATTAGTAAAATATTCCTAAACTATTGAATCATAATATTTTATAATTTCTTATATATATATATATATTTGATTGAACAATAAATCATAATTATTAATTTGATTATAACCATTTGCTTTTTATTAGTTTTTATTTATGACATACTTCAAGTAATTATTACACAAATATATTGGCTTAACAATTATTTCTATGTCAACAAAATATTTTTTTTTAAATAAAAGGGAAACAATGAATTTTAATGTTATGCTTAAAAATATTACATATTTTTTGAAATATTATTTATTTTTAATCATTTTTAATATAATTGATAGAGTATTTTAGTTTGGTTAAATATGATAGTGATTATCATTCAATTGTAGACAAAGAAAATTAATAATAAAAAAATGTTGCAAAAGAAAATAATGAATATAAACTTACATATTAATTTGTCGAAATTAAAAATATATCATAATAAGAATAAATATGTTAATGAATTAACAATGAATAAAAACATTAAAGAAATAAATAATACAAAAAGTTAATTATAATCAATCTAAACGAAATTAAAAAAATTTATAGACTAAAAAGAAACAAATAAATTAATCAAATATATAATATAAAAATATTTGAATTAAAACATAAATAAAACATTATATTTGTTCCCAAAAACAAAACATACTTTCATTTAACTTCTTTAGCAACATTCAAATTTATCATCTCTTCATACGATGATGCAAGCTCTTATTACTTTAGTAGTACACACTTTCCAGTAAATAATTCATTAATTTTGAGTCAACTATCATATAAGTTCTAAATAAATCATAATACCTGGCTAATTCAAATTTCAATTTATTTTCTTGTGCTTAATTATTAATTTCAATAGAAATCATATTTTGAAAAGTAATAAAGGTAGAAAATGCACTTATAACTTGTTTATAAGTATAACTTGACTTCCACTTCTTTCTAGTTTTGATTAATTCCTGTCATAACCAATAAATCATAATCATCAAATAAAAAATTTTATTTTTTTCAATTTCTAATCCTAATAATAACAAATAAAATAATCTTAGCTTGAATGTGATAGTCTCTCTTACGCTCTTTATTTTAGTTTTTAAATTTTAATTTTAGTAGATGATAATTTATTATGCACATACATATATATATATGTATATATATTTGGAACCATGATTAAATTAAAAGTATGATAAATTGAAATTTAATATATTTGAATTTAAAATTTGTGCTAAATTTTCAATCATTGATAAATTTTTATTTGAATTTAAATAGTTATCCAAAAATATTAAATTTATATAATCCATTAAATAGAATAATTTGATAGAAAATAAAATTTTTTTAAGTATATATTTGGAATTGTAGTTAAATTTAAAAAGAAAAGATAAATTATGATTTAATATATTTGAATTCAAAATTTATGTAAAATTTTTAATTTTAGATAAATTTTGATTTGAATTTAAATAATTATCCAAACTATTAAATTATATAATTTATTAAAAAAACTTATTTGATAAATAAAATAATATAAGCATTATCTTTTGTGTAATTAAAAGAGACTATTCACCTAAACATCCATATAAATAATTTTTATCATATAATCTTATACATTGTAATATAATATAATATATATTATATTATATTGCATTTAAATGAATTTTTAATTTTTAATTTGCACCTAAAAGTCTTTGAATTATATTTAAATGAGTCATTAAATTTTTATTTAGATATAAAATAAAATTTATAAGGGTTTATTTATATATAAACTAAAATTTTAAATTTGTTTAGTTACAAATAAAAAGTTAAGAATTCATTTGAGTGTAAATTAAAAATTAAAAATTTATTTAAATACAATAAAAATATAAAAATTTATCTAAATAAAATTATAAAATCTGTAAGTTTTTTTTTTATTATTTTAACAAAAAATTTATGCATATTTGATGTTTGCTCAGAATCGAAGAAGGAAAAGAAGTAGAGTATTGAGTGAATAAAAGGAAAAAGAAATAAAAATATAATTTGTTTCCTCGTTCAGATGATTGTTGAGGTGAAAAAATGGAAAGCACAAAAACTTTTTCCTTAAATTATTTGGCAGGTGATTGAAGGAGGAAAGTAAATCAAAAACTTATTTTCTATTTTATTGTTACACAGAATAGGGATTCAAAGAAAAAAAAAATCGCAACCATTTATATGTACTAATTATTTAATTGATTGAAAGGGAAAAAAAAATCAATAATTTTAACAACAAAGATTTACTAGTATTTTGCATTCCAACTAGAGTCGGCAAATTTACCCGAATCCGTCGGGTTCCGACCCGACCCGATAATTTAGGATCGGGTTTTTTTCTTAAAAAACGGGTTTTGGATCGGGTCGGGTCGGATTTAATTTTTGAAATGTCGGTTTCGGGTCGGGGTCGGGTTTATATGAAACCCGAACCGACCCGACTCGAGATATTTACTAAAATACCCTTAATATATATATGTAATTTTTTTTTAGGGTTTCTGAGTTTCGATTGCTTTCAATGTTTTTGTTTTTCATCCGTCCTATCCTTCTCATCTCTTTCGATTTGTTCAAAATTTTTCATCCACCTATCCAATTCCAGCCATCCCACCTGTGTTCATCCATTTAACTTCCATCTATTTAGCTTTCTTCCTTCGAATCTTTCCTCTATTTCAACAAAAAAAGCCATCAAGCTAGAAAGAGTAAAGTTAACAGGACAGAAAGACAGACGAGTCGCAACCATTTGTAATCTCCACAATGCCAGGATACCAGCAAACAACAGTTTTGAGGTAAGCCAAAATCATCTCCTTACCCTCTACTGTTAATGTTATGTCAAGCATGTTGAGTTTTTACAGAGACCTGGATAGTTTCAATTTCGATTTCAGACAAAGCTGAAACTCTGCTAACCGGCTGTTCTGGTTCATGTTCTGTTGCAACTTGCAAACCATGTTTTGTTACAAATCATGTGCTGTTTTCGAAACCATGTTCTGTTGCAAACCATGTGCTGTTCGAAACCATGTTCTGTTGCAAACCATGTGCTTGCAAACCATGGGAGGGGTTTTGGATAAACTTTTTACGTCTCTGAGGGAGTTGAAAAAGGCTATGTTTTAAAAATTGGTTTTGTAACTTTTCAAGAACAAAGTAATGCCCTGCAGAATCGGAAAACCTTAGCTACGATTGTAGGTTTTCGAGGAATCTTTTCGGGTTTCTTTTTCTTTAAGAACAAAAAGAATTTGAAAAATCCCTACAGTGTAAATAATATTTGTAACGGGTCGGAGTCGGATTTTTCACTAAAACCTCCGAACGGGGACGGATCGGGTATCGGGTAGAAGCACTAAGGTTTCGGGTCGAAGGCGGGGAAAGCAAAAATCTAACCCGTCCCGCCCCGCTGCCATCCCTAATTCCAACTATTTGAATACATTTGTAAACTCTTTTAATTAAACCCATTAGCAAAAAAATCAGTTGAAAATCGATGCCTGGCACCATTTAACTTAAATTTAAATGGATTCTAATATTAAATATCTAAAAAAATACTATTTGTATACACTATGATTCTTTTATGAATACTAAATTTTTTTATATGAATCCATTAATTATTTATTTATAATTATCTAAATTTAACATAAATAGATCGAATAATGATAAATATCTATTTACTTACTACCTATTACTATCTTTAAGTAAAATTAAAATTAATAATAAAATATGTATTTAAATATAAAAACATTAGTAATTATGAGATATATTGTAACGAGAATAAAAATGACTATTAAAAATATTGTTAGAGTAAAAATTATATGCAATAAAAATTTTAAATGATTTAATGTTTATAAAATTAATAAGTAATTATTAAATTATTTTAAATAATAGTTTTGTTAATAAATTAATGAAAAATTAAAATAAAATTTATTTATTAGTTTTTATATAATAAGAAATTTATTTATTAATTTATTATATAATGAAAAATAAAATAAATTAACAAGTAAGAATTAAAATATTTTCGAATTAATATTAAAGTTTTAGAAATAAAAATCTGTGATGTGATTGACCATCGGACAGCGACGTTATCACACCTAAATTGTAAACCTTGGCTAGGGTGCTTTATGGCAGGATCTATATTGTGAAAACTCTTACACCACAACAAAATTGTTGATAAACGAATTCTAGTTTCCAACCAAAGGATT